AAGAGATTGGATTTATACCCCGCTCTTCACTACCCAAAGGAGTCTCAGAGCGGCTTACAAACCCCTTTCCCTTCCCCTCCCCACAACAGACACCCTGTGAGGTAGGTGGGACTGAGAGAGCTTTTGACAGAAACTGCTCTTTTTTCAAGAACACCTCTGCCAGAACTATGGCTTGCCCAAGGTCATCCAGCAGGTGCAAGTGGAGGAGTGGGGAATCAAGCCCGGTTCTCGCAGATTAGAGTCTGCGCACTTAACCATTACACCAAACTGGATCTTCAGAAATCGTCACTCTCTTTAAGAGAGCAGGCAAAGGTCACTTGAGAGTGCTACACAGCGTAGTGCGAGATGAGTGCAATCCTTTCTGCAAAATAGCCTTTTCAATCGCATGGGATATTTTTCATCTCCACTGACTTACAGAAGTAAAAAGCAAATGGTTGTATGAGCTACCCGTTTTAGTTCTGGCCTATGATGTTCACACACAATTTGACTTCTGGAGGATACAGATTCTAATTCTTGCTGAGATGACAAACTTGTGACTGGATCGTACCACTTCAGGCAGCAGGACTAAATACTGTTCCACATACAAAACGAATTAATTTGAAAAAATTAATTTTTTTAAAAAATGAATGGAACCTTCAATCACACGACACCCAACCACAGTTTAAAGTGGCACAACACAGGAGGTGAAGCATCCCGTACCCACTCTGGCAAACAATTCCAAAGAAATGGTCCTGCCACAGAAAAGCTTGCAACTTAACCGTTGCAAAACAGATGGTCCTGAGAGGGTACACCAGAGGTTTGTCAGAAGAGTGCAGCTGGACCGTGGCAGTATACCAGGAGGTGCCGTTTGATAGGTATTGATGATACAGTACCTACATCGTGGGAAGTCTCATGTGGAGTTCTGCAGTATTGCCACCTGTTTAACATCTGTGTAAGACCAATGACTAAGATTGCCCAAAGCTTTGGACTGGGTTGGTTGCCTTCAATATGCTCCCAGGGGTTGCCCCTGTTCTATGGAACAGGTTTCCCAGTGACTTAAAGAAGGCAGAAATTCCAAAGACTCTGTAAGGCAAAGCTTTTCCAACATGCTTTTTGTGGCTTCTGTGGGGAGACCAGTTATGATGGGATAATCCCTTGCTTTTTATTTATATATATATTTTGGTAAGGAGTTTTTAAGCAGGTTTTCATGATATAAGCTGCTGAGCCCTACTGATGGGTGAAATGCAGCATATGAATATTTAAAATATTTTTCCAAGCTGCCCTCTAGAATTCCATTTTACCAATAGGCAGCTTTAAGAAGCCACATGAGTCTCTCGACTCAACTAACGGCAATAGACCTTTTGGTGCTTGAAATCCTGGAACTCCAGTGGAAGAACAGACAACACTGACCTAGAGGGACCAACAGACTTGGAATAAGGTAACTTCATATGATGCATATTGTTGTAGGACAACTTCCCATGCCTGCTCATGACATTAGCAAATATCCAGGCAGGGCACTGGTGAGTGGCCGTGAGCATGCGTGCAACCTTGCAAGTACAGTGGATTACAGAATAAGCCTGTAAACCTTTTTCACTTACACTCTTACTTTTAAAAGACGACTTGTAAGAAGCCTGGACATTAGACTTTCCATGTGAGGATAGCGGGAGTGGGTCCCACTGACGTTTTCCAAGCAGGGCAGAAGGGGCAACACATTCACACATGGCACAGAGTTGGAAGCACTGGCACCTCACTCAGAAGAGGACGTAAGGGTTTTACACTGAAGGGGACAAAGGAACACACCAAGGCATCCTGTAGTGAGAACGCACAAATAGGACGCCCGACAAAAAACATGAATCATCTCTCAGATCTACGAATCATCTCCAGGAAAAATGTTGACTGGGCCATGTGTGGGGATGAGGGAGGCAGAGCATTCAAGAACATTGTGCAATCAGGGAGCCCTCCAGGCTAACCCAACCTCCTCAGATCTTGGAGGCTAAGCAGGGACGGCCCTGGTTAGTATTTGGATGGGAGACCACCAAGGAAATCCAGGGTTGCAATGCAGAGGCAGGCAGGCAATGGCAAGCCACCTCTTTGCCTCTTGCCTTGAAAACTCGAAGGGGTCACCATTTATCAGCTGCAACTTAATGGCATTTCCACCACCACCGCCCAGTCTACATGGCCGTTCCTGAGCTGGCAAGTGGTCTTGCGAAAAGCACATCCCATACAATAAGATCACAGTATCAGTGTGTGTGGTGCTTTGGACTCAACCCATCACAGAGTGGGACATCTCTCCCCCCCCCCCCCCAGCTGCTCTCTCCCATTGCCTGCCCCTGAAATTGTGCTACTGTGGGTGGTCAAGGAACCCTCAGTACCACTACAGAGCAACAAGATGTGTGTGCGGGGATGGGGGTGCTTTTTCAAAACCTATGTCACACAGCCCTCTTGTGGCAACTTTTCCAATCAGAAAAGCCTCCATGATTGATATGAAAGATTATTCAGGTTTGAATATGTAAATCTGCTGTTATACGCACCTTTGAATTCTACCTTGATTCAATGTATCCTATGAGAAGCCCTTAGGCAGAAAACATGCTGTGAAATGCACTGTACCCATGGAGAAATGGATATGGGTCAACCTAGATCTACCCACACTTTCTTCCTTGCTTGACCCAAGGGTGTGTGGCTGCTGTTTGACCCAAAACATGCCCCCCACTGAAAAATTTCTGGCTATGAGTCTGCTCCCAAGCTACCAGGATATGTATCAAAATAGCAAATCCTTATAATCTTGGAGACGATGCATCTGGTGTACCTAGGGAAACTGGGGAAAAGTCACCCTTACATTCAATTTTTTTTAAAACTTGGTCCGAAAGAACTCCTGAACAATGACCCGTCAGCATGTTCACGATGACAACACAGAAATATCAGATGTCCCTTGGTTCCTACAAGAGCAGGGTGGTTATTTGTCTCTACCCAGAAGTACAGAAAGGCAGCTTATGTTGCAGGACTTTTCATACTGGTATAGAAGCAAGGCTTCCTCAATCTTTCATCAAAAGTTCTGAACCACTTCTCAGATCTAAAGGATGTCTCGGCTTCAGCAAGCAGAAACTGGAGTCTTTGGCAGTAGAAAGGAAATTACACACAGATAGGGTTGAAATCCTACTTAGTTTTCAACATCTGAATCTTGCCAAGAAACTCAGCACTGGACGTTTTTTCTACTTTACTCTTACAATTACCCTGTTGGGTATCTTAGCCCCAAGGTCACCCAGAGTTCTTCACAGCTGAGTAGGGATTTGTCCCAAAATTCAACAATCCAGCCACTCCGTGTTCCTTTATTGATGTGACTGAACACAGTGACAAAGCCAAAATCACAAGTATCTGTCTCTGAACTAATGGAAACCTTTCATTTGAGCAGCCATCATTTGTTTTGACTATCACATGTCACATGCTCCTCTGACTGGAAGAAGCTGAAAATCTGTATATTCCTGCACTGGTAACACAGGTGAGGACAAACTTCAAAATAGCTACACCATAAAGCATTTTAAGTATTCTGGATTGTACAGGGACAGGCAGAAAATAGCTCTGAAGTAATGAATATGGTTAATTTAAACAAACATGCTTCTTAAGCCAATGGGCTGCATCCAACCCACGCCCCCTTTCATGAGCAGAAAGCCCTCCCACTTATCATTCCAGGTTGTCAGTAACTTCCATAAATTCATCCTGTAGCTGAAAAAGAGAAGGTGGGAAAGAAGAAGAAAAGGAATTTCAAAGCAGCTTACAATTGCCTTCCCTTCCTCTCCCCACAACAGGCACCTTGTGAGGTAGAAGAAGAAGAAGAAGAGATTGGATTTATACCCCACCCTTCACTTGGGAGTCTCAGAGCGGCTTACAAACTCCTTTCCCTTCCCCTCCCCACAACAGACACCCTGTGAGGTGGGTGGGGCTGAGAGAACTCTGACAGAAACTGCTCTTTTTCAAGGACAGCTGTGCCAGAGCTTGTGACTGACCCAAGGTCACATCAGCAGGTGCAAGTGGAGGAGTGGGGAATCAAACCCGGTGCTCCCAGATTAGAGTCCGCACACTTAACCACTACACCAAACTGGCTCCCAGGTAGGTGGGGCTGAGACAGCTCCGAGAGAACCGTGACTGGCCCAAAGTCACCCAGCAGGTTTCATGGAGAGGAGTGCAGAATCAAACCCGACTTTCCAGATTAGAGTCCGCCACTCTTAACCACTACACCACGCTGGCTCACTACCCCGGAGTTTTGCTCTCGGTTGTCAGGATCCTGACTTTTGCGCTATCTCCACACACACCTACCCAGTGAGCATAAGCAAGATGGATGAAACCTATTTACCAAGCATGTGGTAAAAAAAGGGCAGACTCAAACAGTGTCATGCATCTGATTCCTGGCCATGCCATCGCAAGAAGAATCGGAAAGGGCTCAGACGTGCACCAGCGTCAGCAATTTTAGTGCACATTTCCCCCCCCCCCCTTGCCCTGGAACCCCGCCCTCGCGAGCAAACTGTGCTCCAATTATTTTTAGTGCGTTTGGAACATTTTTCATCAACAAATGTAGGTTTTCACAATGTAACTAAACAATGCTATCAGGAGAAAAGCGGATTAAATAACAACAGTGGACCTCAGAAGAATGAACTGTATTCTCTTTATTGTTAGCCAATTAATGTTATCCAAAATAATAGATGTTATTAACTGTAACTTGATTTTTACAACACAAAAACATGATGCTAATCGGGGGGGAGGAGAGGGAGGGAAGTTTGTTGCAAAATTACTTCATCAAGTATTTTCTCGATGTCTCTGCACCATCAAGTGTTCCCCCAACAGCTGGTGATGGACCATTATCGCCACTTTGTCCACTATGAAAAAACCTTGTTACAGATCTTTATTATTCCCAACTGCTTAGAAAAATTCACACAGCTTTTATAAATGGATTATTTCCATTTCAGTTCTAGCCTATACACTGTAGATTATGAACAGCAAATCTAACTGGTATCTCCCACCCACCCCAGATAGACTGGTGTTATCAATGCATGTGCACACGTTTCAAGGAATAATCGGGAAATACTAGCGCAGCATCGCACCTGGTATGGCAAAATTTTCTAACACTTTGGAAATTCAGGTCTCGTGGTTCAGGCCTCATGAAAACCTGCAATACGTAAGACCCACGTTCCAACTACTAGAAGCAGAAAACACTAAAGAGGAAACCAAGCAGTGTTTTGAATATGTGCACAGCGTTTGTGGCCCAGTCTATTCAAGGTTAGCCAGCTACCTTTCCCCACAAAATCCAGAACGCTTGTGTCAGTGTGTGTGTATATATATATTCCCGCTCTCATGATGTTCTCCCATACAGAACTTCCTTAAATTCAGTGACCCCCCCAAAAAAAAAAAACTCTCAATAGAACTGTTTATAAGAAACCTGTGCATGAAAATTTAATAAAATGGCAATTTTAATAGGTAAGTGTAAATTTTTGAGTGCATAATACCAAACGAAAGGTAGCTGAACCATCCCTCAGAGAAAGCAAGGCTTCTTTCTCCCAACTGCTAGTTCAAGATCTGTTAGGTAAGTAAATACATAATTTGACTTCTACAAAAAATGTAAAAACCCAAGGTGTCAGCTTTTTTTTTTATTAGTCATTTCAAGGAGAACTAGATGAGACAGGGGACTCATCGGCTGTAATGCACATTCAATGCTGGTTGAGTGCGTGTTGAGCGTCAGCAAAGTTTGTTCATACACCTCTTTTGCTCTTGTTTTGCCACAGTCTCAGGAAAAGGCAGAGCACTGTATATGCTGTTCCCTTGCACCTTCCGAGTTATCAGAAAGGGAACAGGAAGAACATGATGTACAAAGTGGCCCTAAAAACAAATGTAAGGCAGCACTGTTTCATGCACCACCTCCATCAGCAAATGAGCCTCCAAACAATGGTAGTCTAAGTAGAAGGGAATCTAGAAAATAGGTTCAAATCCAACCATTTCACACCCTCTCATTGGATGGTATACCAGTGACTGATTACATTTTTTTTTAAAAAAAATGTAAAATATACAATGCACAGTTTTTACTCAACAAAAAGGCAGCTGAACATTGTTTGAAAGCTATAAATCTATGCTCTAGCCAAAAAAAAAAAAGGTGCCAAGATTTCTGTAACATTTAGCTAGGGAGGAACCCAGGTTAACACAGTCAGCCTTTCAGTATGGTGTTTGAAGGACCGGTCATCATGTATATAGAGTGAGGTAGGATTCTGTCCCCTCCTTGGGACTGATGTTTTCATATGCTCCCTTGCCAGAAAGGTCCAGGTTTTCCACCTTGCAATTCACTGGGCTAACAGAATGCAAAGTGGGGCACTTAACTGCTCCCGACTTTTATCTTGGGTAACTGAAGATGCCAGTAAAAGCAGACCTGTAAGCAGGAGACATTCTACAGATAACGTTCCATTTCTTTATTTTAAAAAAGAGAGAGAGACTGAGAGAATGGTGGAACGGCTACCTGCCACCTAGACCTTTGTGAACAAATAGGCAAAGAAAACCATCTATGATGACAGGGCGTGAAACACCAAAGAATTCCACTCTAGAGGTGGGGGGGAAAACCTCTGAAAAATACGCAATAAATTCAGCAACGTCAAACTCCTTGCAAATGTGCTAAGCCGAAGAGACCATTCCAAAGTGCACCCATGCCAAAACCACGGCCAGTGAGAAGTTGAAAGCCGGTGTCTTCTCAAATGATCAATGCTTAGGGTAACAGCCTGAGACTGTGCTACTCTTTTAGAGGAGAAAGGATAAAACAAAGGATATGAGATCATGGAAACTGCTACCACAACCCCACAAAGAGCCAGAGATGACAGGGCTGCCTTAATGTTGAATGACTCATGAAATGCTGCTTAACCACAAACTGGTATAAGTGCTTTGGCAAGGTGGGGTGTGTTCCTCTCATGAGTGGAAAAGGCCTTGTGTTTCTCTGCTGGTGGTTCAAGCTTAATGAAGAACATATATGCAAAATAACAGCTCTCACATTGCTTCAAATTCATCAATGCGTTGCTTTGTATTGCCTTGTCTGATCTGTCGGAGAGTCTTGTATTTATCGCGGCCTGCTTTGACATTTTCAGCGTGAAGGACATCGTTCTGAGTTTTCTTGGTTTCGTCCCTTGCTTGGGCCAACTCAGAACTCAGGGCCTGTTGAACAAAAGCCGGGAGTTTAGTCTTCAGGAGACACTTCATATGGTATAAGAAGCTTGTCCAGCCTAACTCAGCCCTGTGCCTTAGTCCCCCAACCAAACAGCCTGGACATGTACACAGGGGAAGGAGACTGCACTAAGATCAGAATTCATTTTTTAAAAAATAGCCAATTCTGATTCAGTCCATTCTAGTATTGTCACTATCTGAATTACAAGCATGCCGGCTATGATCCAGAGCTCATGTAACATCTTGCACACATATAGGCAGGGTTTCCCCTTCCGTCTATATTCCTGATGGCATTTTGTGGGCAACTTATCTGTCAGCATCAGGAGGTGGGTTTTTTTTGGGGGGCGGGGGCAGAAAGAGACACCTCAGAAGCTGAGCTATGCATGCAGAGCTTGCTGTGCAACCCTTTGAATTGTGGCCCTGGGTCACAAATACTAACATGGAAGCCAAAGGATATTAAACCAAGCAGGCACACAGGCCCATCTCTACACAATCATAAGAATATTTTCTACCTGCCAACCGGGGGGTGCAAGGTTAATGGGGAAACCGTACAACTTTAAACATTACCGTTATAAAATTCTATACACTTCCTATCAATACCTCCAACAGAAAAGAGCCTGCTGACAATAAAAAGGCCTCTTGAAAGCAGGGAACCATTTCAAGTATGAAGCTCAAGGGCCTTGCTTTAATAACACACAATGGTTTGGATTCAATCTGCCATGAATGGAATGAATTCACAGAAGCACATCTTTTCTTTTCTTTTTTTGTGAGAGGGGTGTGTGTGTTTGAGAGAGACTTCTGGCAATCCCCAGCGAGGCTTGGCCGTTTCAGAGAGGTGGCTTGCTACTGACTTCCTCTGCATCCCAGCCCTGGTATTCCTTTAAAGAACTTGCCAGGGTCGGCCCTTCTTAGCTTCCGATATCTGACAAAGATTGGACTTGCCTGGGCTATCCGGGTCAGGGCAACAGAAGCACATCTTTTCCACTTTCCCCTCGTGCTCTCCCTGCACACACACACCCCCAAACCAACCTTGAGGGGGTCCAGGGACCCTGCAGAACAGCACACCACTTAACTCATAGGAGTGAGGGAGTGGGGGGGCAACCCCAACCATTTCCTCCATGTTGCCACAATCCCTGGGCTGCGTGGAA